TCCAACAACACCTCTGCCAGAACCACAGACCATCTCTAATTCCCTCATTCAGGCCTTTCCAGATATACAGGCCTAGAATGGTAAAGTCACCAGGTGAGTGAGACGACTCAACTCCCCAAAAGTCAGAGTGGGTATCTCTCCACGATATGACTTTGGTGTCCTTCCAGAGCCTGCACAGCATGTTAGAAGGAAGAGCTTCCAAAGGACTTTTTTTTGGGAGAGGGCAGTTTTCTGGTTTTCGTAGACATGAAAAAGATGCTCACAATATGGTTCGTGTACATTGCTATTCAGACTTTACTCCCTCAAAATGGCTTCCAAAAGTGATGCTGAGGAAAGAAACACTAGGTCATTGCAATTTTTGCCCTGCTAGGCACATGGTATACATGCAAGATAAAGCAGACATGGTCCCTGCCCTCCAGGAGTTTACAGAATCCTGTGGAAATCAGCATGCAACAAACACATAAAAATGATGGCAAATTTAAAAGGTGCTAAAGCTCTGCAAAGGAGAGTTTCCCAGGAAGGATGCATAAGACCTCGAGGGATGTGCTGAACACTCAGAATAAACACTTAGGCATCGTAGCAAATTAAAAAGTGATGTGTATTTCTGCTTGCATAAGGCCTAAATTGCCAATTTCGTAATAAACAAAATAATTTTGTGCCGTTTTCGCTTACATCCTATTTTGACTTTAGATAAGAAAAACTAAAAGAGGGCAAAAGTTTTAGAATTAAGTTGTTTGTAATACCTATTGAATAAAAAGTAAAATAATAAGACAAAGAAATCAATGCTAAAATGTGAAATTCATTTTGGAATCAACTACATGCTTAATTTCGATGAACCAAAAATGAGCAACCTATGGGCAAACTAAGTCACATATAAAGAAAATCCGTTTCCTCCCTGGTCTCCAAGTTTATGGAAATTAACAACAATCTCCTAGATCAGGTCTAATTCCTATATTCCATTAGTCATTTTAAGATCTAAACATCAAATAACTGTAACAGCAAAGTCCTATTTGATTACTTGCTGAGGAAGAAAAAGAATTTGGATGAGGCTAAAGGCTTGGACTTCACTAGAGAAAACAAGATATGGGCTGGGACACTCAGTTGTGGAATTCTACATAAAGATTTCAAGATTTTCACTATATCACTAACTTTCACCACCTTTTAAATGAAGTTCATATGTAATGTATTTCCATGCCTTGGATAATCAAATTAATGCAAAGAGCCTAAAAGCATTTTCAAGGTCAGTAGTAATGCCATATGTTGAACACAAGTCATTAATCAGAGTATATTTCTATAGAACATTCTAGGAAATGACAAAACCTAGCTGCACATTAGAATAACCTGGGGAGTTGTCAGAAAAGCACAGGCCCAGCTCACAAGATTCTAATTTGATTGGTCTCAGATAGGCAGCTTTCTCTCTCTCTCTCTCTCTCTCTCTCTCTCTCTCACGCACACACACACACACACAAATACTAATAATGAAACCATGGCTTTAGACATGGGCTATACCCCAGAAAGAAAATACAAACAATTCCTGATAATAAACACTAAACTTCCATTTGAGGGGAGAACTAATAACAATTACTTGTTTTGATGTCATCATCTGGTTAAAAAAAAATAGATTTCAGCAAAATTTAAAAGTTTGCAAGTCGCCATTCTATTCAAAGCAGCAAAAGAAGCCAAAGAAGCCAAAAACAAATGACATTTTTTCCCTTCTGGCATTTGCAATGATGCCCATTAGGTATTAGTTATTGTCTATTATAGTATTAAGGTTGGACTATCTTGCAAAAAACTTTATTCCCACTCATTTTCATTTCTGTCAGATTTTCCATTATAAATTTTATTTTCTCTGCCAGTTAAAAGGAATATGAGGTTACAATTTGGCAAGAACATGTTAAGCTGGGTGTGATTTCTGCACCCCAATTTGATGTAAATTAGCTTTGTCATATTTAGTAAGAACTCAAAAAAGTTCATTTGGTTACTTTTGCTTATCTATTGGTTCATTTTCTACACAATTTTAAAAGTCTCAAAAAGTCACCATGTTTATTTCTGATAATTTCACGTGGAAATGCATTAATGAAATAATATTATCCCATTACTATTTCTAATGAAAACAACTTAATTACTAGTAAAGAACCTGCCGGCTTTTGTTCTTCTGCTAAAATATATCCATTTTAAAAAGTGCCATATGTCCATTAGTATTAATGTTAAATCCTTAAGATAAATCTAAAATATGTATCTATTTTTTAACTTGATATATTTCTGAAACAATACACATCTCGCAATAATAATATATTCCTCCAGGACAGCCCTTTACTACCTGTTGCTTACCACCACTCTGTCCCTACACCAAACAAAAGGCTATTGGGACTGGAAGAAGCGTGTTTCCATATAGCACTGCTCACCCCTTTAAGTCCATAGGATACATTGTTATAATATGATAAAGCAGCTTTTGGAGCTCCTTAGGGCACACCATCTAAAGGTTTTCTATTCCGTATCTCAATCATGTAGTAAACAGAAGAAAACAAAAGCCTCCCCTCCACGAGTCACTCACCTTGTCACACAGTGGGGAATCATTTCAGCTGTGATCTGCTATTTAGACTTGAAGCCCAAGATACTGAGGTTTTGCCTTTCTCTTTGGTTTGCATAGCTGGTGTTGTAGACAGGGATTCAAACAACAATACAGCGCAAGAGAAACTAATTCACTGGAAGACACACTATGGTCTGTTCTATCCTCAAATTTCACAGAAAGCAGAAATTCATACTCTGTACATTTTTCATCTTCAGTCCCTATTTCCCTCTGTCAGCAAATTTCCAAAATTTCACTTTTATTTATCTCTAAGTAATCACACTGTTTATGGAGATTGCTGCGACCATGCTAAGCACAGAGATAGTAGACTCTTGCAAGACTCACAACCACGAAGCACAAATTAAGAATGAAGGAATCTCCACACTCCACGGCTACATTATGAAGGCTTTTAAGAAAAGCATATGCAGTCATAGTGCTATATACAAAAGAATTTTCCTGGACATTAATGCCTCAAAACGAACCTCCCAAGGCCCAAAAATTCAGCCATCACATGCCAATCCATCCACCTCTCTTCCACCCTCTGCCCCTTTCCACTTCTCACCTTGTTTGAAAAAAAAAAAAAAAAAATTAACTTCAGTTTCACCCGAGGGAAGTATTCCCCACAAATGGAGAAAGGAGGGTCTGTGTTCTGCACATACACAGACAGACTCACACGGTCTGGATGATGCTTTCACAAGTTAAGGGGCCTCACGCTTACTCAGCAGAGGAAATCTTTGTGTCTGTGAGGAATCACGCCAATTCCTATTAGTAAGAAAGGATACAGGGGCGAGGAAGCCTATTCTCTCAATGACCAGAAAAAGGGGCCCAGCGAAAACAGAGACCTCTGCCATGACCATCTGCAGAAAGGAAGGATGTTGTCAACTTTCTTCTCCCCAAAACTCTAATGACCTCCGCCTTGACCCTCAGAAACCAGACCCACAGGAACACGCTCTTCTGCAGGAACTGAGAGCTTTACACCAGAGACACAGCACTCAGAGGCTTGTCGCCCAGGCTATCTAGCCCGAACATTTGCACTCACATTCCAAAGATGTTTCCGTTGCGCTGGAATGGCTGTAAATTTCTTTCCTGCAGAATTCTTTCCAAACAAACTGCCATGAACTGCACTCCGGCAGGAGCTCTTAACCAAGCACTATTCACCTCAATGCAACAAATCTTTCAGATGCTGAATATGACTGAATTGGTGGCTGGGCCAAGGGAGTAAACTTTAAAAATGCAAATATATACAGGGAAAAAACAAACACACCAACCCACCAGAAGTCGTACCTTCCTATGTCTGATATGTAAAGGAAACTTTCCTCATAGGCTCGATTTAATTACGAAAACAAAACTTTGCTTACATTTTTCAGGGGTATATTAAATGGGTTGTTTAAAAAAAATATCAAAATAGATTCTTCCCCCATCAAGAACATGAGAGGGTGAGAGAGTTCAAGAGAGTAAGCATCCCCTTTCCAGCATAAAAAAAAAAAAAAGTACATTTTGTTTGGGTAAATAATAAAAACAGTAGAGCGCTCTGAATATTGAAGAGAATTATTAAATTCCATCAAGAGTTTTCCAAAGAAACTAATACACTAATAAAAAAGAAGCATAAATTTTTTAAAAAGATTTTAAATACATGATTAATACTGATATTGAACTGAAAAAGAAAGCATCTATAAAAACTCAATTGTCTTGAAACAAAGCTTACACTTTTAGCCAGATAGTATTTTTAGAAATAGCCTCTCTCTGGAGAGTTTAAAGTATACAAATGCAGAGTGCCCACAGACACAAACACACACATGCTATACCTTTGTATTACACTGGCATTTTATTATTTAATTAAAGTACTCTTATTTTTCTAGCTCACGCATGCTTCCCTTGAGACGGCTTTGCTGTTAGCCTGCTGGCCTTGACTTCCAGCCAAAAACAATTCAGAAACAAAAAGGGACAACAAATCATATTTTCACAGACATTTTTATCCCTCAATACAACCCTGTTTTCACACAACATCATACAGCCCCTATGAAAACTATAATTTAGGGCAATAGCCACCCGAAACCCAGGGTCTGACACATGACTCCGTGAAGCATTTCCTGCGTAAGAAATTCTTAAGTTCTTAATTGCAAACAAACTCTTTTGATAGAACCACTTTCACCGACATTGCTGGTTTGCAAACAGTGCCACTGGTACCGGCTGATGGATTAAAAAATAAAAACAAGCCCATGAACGTAATTCTGATACAGCAGCGATCTAAAGATGAGGTGTTTATTAGTTCTAAGCTCTGTGTTATTTCATTACTTAAAGAGAGAGCCATCATCTGACCTGCCAGTGCATCTTTGGTGTCACAGTTTAAAATGCATCATCTAATTTAGCAAACAAACTGATTTACCAGGTTAATCCTCTCAACCCTTCCGCAACGGAGATTCTCACTTACCTGGTGGCAACCCTGTAAGTTTGATTCTCTCCCATAAGATGAGTATGAGCCCCTTTCTGTTTTACCTGCCAAGAGAAACGACAAAAAAGTGTAAATTGTGTTTTTCCTTAAAAAAAAAATCTCCTCCAGGTAACAGACATCTACTGCTCTTCCCCGATGTTTACATACGTAAAGTAGGCACTACTGGCAATGTATGCAAGCAAGAGAGGGAATAACACTTCCTCACTCTGGCTATGATAAACTGGAAAAAAATATCCTTCATTCCTATTCTTAGCCAAACTGCTCCACACTTCCAAAAACTGTCATTCCAATGGCCTCCACTTTCTCTAACAAACAAATCGTAACTCCTTATTTTCACTTTCTCTTGCACAAAATTTAAACAATTTCATTTTTATTTACACAGCAGGCAAATTATCTATGTAATGACCCTAGCCTAGTAATTCCCATTGATTATATTGACACTTAATGGTGAGGCCAAAACTAATCAATCAAAGGCTCTCCAGATGGTGAATTTAGCAAAGAAACTATTCAAAATTCTGAGTCTCTCTCTCGTTTTCAAAAACTCCCTTTCCCAGGAGTGAGTCCCATCATGATCAAGATGATGATGGAATTTACATTTGGGAAACAGGGCTTCTGAAAAATTGCCTACTCTGAACCCAAGTTCAGATTCCACCAATAGACCCAGCAGCACAAGGGATCGTGGAATGTGAATGTCTGGTTCCAATTCTAACAGCCCGATTTTTATCTGTAGACTACTCTACAGAGATCTATGGACCCTTCGATGCCATTTGGCCACATCTAAGAATAAAATCAAGGGTGTTCATTTGTTTCTTTTTAAAGTTTAACCCCAATAATCATTAGGGAAGATAATGAAATCACATTACAAGAGATCTAAGCAGCAGAGTCCAGACAGCGACATGTGGAGAAAAATTGTAGAAATCTGTCCATACCAGAACATTAAAAGGAGCTAAAAGAGGCAGATAGGTGCAGGTGCCTAAGACCCCACCCCATTCAAGTTTAACGGATACTTCTTTCATCAAGACTGGAGCTTTACAGTAACCGTATGTGATACATAGGACTACACTATTCTTTTATCCAATGGGAAAACTCTAAACTTGTTTTTTGAGAGGCTGAATAGATTTCCTTCTGAAGTTTACAATCCCCAAGTTTTCCCCTCTCACCTCAACAGGAATGCTAAAAGTAACAGTAGCCTTTTTATCTTTTAGGTCAATGGCAATAGCAATGTTATTAGAGTATGCCTTCCTGACACCACACAAAGAATGTATCTTTGATACATTTATATCCATAAATTTTCTATCTGGTCAAAAGGGTACCCTGTATCCAAGTCATTATATATATAGAAAATGGATAGCAGTTTTCAAAGAAAGCCAAACCTAAGTCTTAAAATTAACCCCCTGTTTCCCAGTATTAACTTTTCTACTGATTTTAATGAATCTTAAAGTTGGGAAAACACCTCCGCCCCATCTCTGGTCTAGCGTTCAGCGCAAAGTATAAAATCAATGCCCATATCAGTTTCAATTTCAGTGAAACAAGACACCATCGCACAGATTGTCAGTCGTAGAAGATGAAACAGAATAACTTCCATTGTATGAGGATTTTACATTGAAGAAAAGATGCATTTATACTTGTATCAGCAGTGGGAATGGTCACAAAGACATATTTACTCATCTGTGTACGTCAAATTTAAGCTACTTACACCCTTTAACTTCTCTCTCTAAATGTTACTAACAGAGAAGGCTCGACCTTCATGAGCTATCAAAGGACGTGTGTCCTTCCTTAAGCTTTTGCATCTAAGAATGCTTCAATACCACCATTACATCACTTACTTTGACGTAATATTCGCTTGTTTAACAGGTAGATACGCAGGCAGGAAGCTGGGCAGGTAAGAAGGCAGGCAGAAAGGAAGATAGATAAAGTAGATTCTGCTCTGACTTCCTAAGAAACTGAACATCTAGTGTCCTGTTTTGGTCATTTCTAAAAATCTAAATTGTAAAATACAGTTTAAGGAAGAAAAAAAATCTATTTTTTTTTTT